GGAGGAAAAAATTCATTAATTTTTTTATGATTTTCTCTTCCATTTGTTATTGATTCCTCCCCTTCCTCCTCCCCTCTCCTACCTTCCGCTATCTTACAGGAAACAACAACAAAATAAAAATTTAAACATTTTCTATTGTTAAGCAAAAGAAAAAAAAAAAGTTTATATTTATACGTTCGACGTGGAAAAAACAATACGTAAATAATTTATTACTCAATCATAAAAAAAAAAAAATTCATTTATATTTATATAGTTTTTATGAATTTAATCTTAAATGAAAAATTGGAATTTCGTTTCTCTTCCTTTTTTCCTTTTTTCCTTTTTTTTCTAACTGGGAATCCAACATTGCAAAACAAAAAAAAAAAAAGCATTTCGACGGTTTTAAAAAAATTTTTTTTTTTTTGTGAATAAAAAAACCCGTGAGTTGAATATATAAAATTCAAAAAAAAAAAAAAAAAGGAAAAAGTTTTCAGAAAACTTCTTGAAATAAATTTTTATCCATTGAATCCTTTCCTTTTTTCCTTTTTTCGTTGCTGAGAAAGAAAAAAAAAGAAAAAATTCTCATGAGAAAAATCGATAAAATCATTAAAATAAAAATAAAAAATAAAATTTATTTTGACGTGTCAATAATAATACGTCAGATTTAAAAAAAAAAAAAAATTTTTTTCAGGGGGGAGGGGGCGAGATGTTAAAAACGTAAAACACGCAAAAAAAACAAGTTATTATTATTATTATTATTATTATTATTATTATTATTATTATTAGTTATCCCTTTAAGAGAATTTATTCCCGTGCAAAAGAAAAAAAAAAATTGTTCAAGTTTTCCTTTGATGAGTTTTCCTTCGAACTAAATTCACGATTTAAATACGAAACCATTGTAATAATAATAATAATAATAATAATGACAATCGTTGACGTTCATTCATACATAATGTAAATGAAAAATTTCGTTTTAAAACGTGGCATCAGAATGATTAATGACCTCATCATATTTGAAATCGTTGAAACGCGTTCACGAATTTCACATATCAACAAACACATTTAATTTATTAATAAAAAAAATTTTTTTTTTCTTACACACACACACACAAACACTTTCTCTCTTTCTCTTTCTCTTTCTCTCACACTCTCTCTCACACACATTCTCTCTCTCTCTCTCTTTTTCTAAATTATCATCATCATCAAATGTTCGATTATCGATTTTTCCTTTTGGTGTTCGTTCCGAGTTTTCACAATCGAGTTAAATTAAATTCAACAATTTTCGATATTGATATTATTATTATTATTATTATTATCATTTTTTTTTGTACGAACTCACATTGTTTGCTTTATTAATAATAATAATAATAATAATAATAATAATGATAATAATAATAATAATTTTTCTCATCGTCGTTTAATGCCTTGTATTTCTTTCTCTTTCTTTCTTTTCTTTTTTTCCGTTGCGTGTTTTCGTTTCCGTTTTATTATTATCATCATCATCATCATTATTATTATTATTATTATTATTATTATTATTATTAATAAATTTTCATAAGTTTAATTAACTTATTAAAAAAAAAAAATGTTTTTTGAATGTTTTTTTTAATTTACGACGTATTTTTTTTTATTTAAATAGTTTAAAATAGGGCCCTTATTGTTACGTCGCGATATGACGTCATCACTAACAGGTGTTTTATTGTTTACGATTACGATGATGATGATGATTATGATGGTGATAATGAACCTGAAAATTAATTAATTTTTTTTTTTTTTTCGTTAATAATGTGTAATGTTTTTATGTTTGTTTGTCTTTGTTGTTGTTGTTTGTGTTTGTGTTTTAAAAATTGTTTTAAATAATATTAATATTAATAATAATAATAATAATAATAATAATAATAATAATAATAATAATAATAATAATAATAATAATAATAATTATCGAAGTAAATTTTGACAAAAAAAAAAAAACTTTTTTTCGTTTATGGGATATTAATTTTTCAGGTGACGTAATCATTTTTATATTTTTTTTGTAATTAAATATTTATTAAATTCTATGTACATAATTTATGTATTTATTATTATTATTAATAAATTATTCGGAAGGTCGTAAAAAGAAGAAAAAAAAAAATTTTTTTTACGTATTGCATTGAAAGCATCCGCCATCATTATTTTATTTTTTTGATCAATTTCGTTTGTAGTTTTTTTTTTATTTTTTTATTTTGTTATTGTTTTTGTTTGTTGTTGTTCGTGATATGTTTTGACAAAAGTTTTTTTCGTTTACGTGTCCTCGTGTACGTGTTTAAAATATTAAATTTTTTTTTTTTCAATTTTTAAAAAATTAAAAAAAAATGAAATTGAATTAAAAGATAAGACGACGCTATAAAATAAAAGATTTTTAATTTTTTTCTTTAAATCATCATTATCATCATTATCATTATCATCATGAAAACAAAAACAAACGAAACGAAAAAATCGTTGCTTTAAGACATTATCGCTTAAAAAACGTAAAAAAGAGGAA